CGCGTGGAAATTATTTTCGGTGTTTGTGGAAGTAAGCGTGCTCATTCATCTTCAGACTCCCCCAGAATGTAAAATCTTTATTTAGATTTGGAGATTTTACCTAACGTAACTGCCAGAAAACATAAATATAAACACATATTTATAGTCTTTCACCGAATAGGTGAAACTAAAATTAAAGAAAGTGAACTAGAATATTATCGAATTTATGATCTCAGCAATGTTAGCAATTTAATTTGAACTTTTTGAGGAAAATTACTTTTAAAAACAGCTGATGTTTGGCTGAAACAAAAATCGCCTTGAAATTCGAATATTGATAATAAAAAGCAAAACTAATTAATTATAAATGATGAAGTTACTTTCAAAATATCTTTCAAAGTAATTCAGTAAAAATTAATATGCGCGCCGTTTAACAAACACCCTCTTTTGAAGTTTTCCAGCTTTAGTGTTTTTTAAAGTACCAACCTATCAAGTTCGCTGATTCATTAATGCTTTTTTTAAGGTCATAATGTGATTTCGATGTTTTAAAGATAACTGAAGAAAGGAATCAGCGGAGGTGCGTGTCCAATCAGTCTTCGGACTGCCTTCCTATGATGATGATAATGATCAAAGAAGCATTGCAGTTCAATCATTAAAAAAATCGCTCCTAAATATCATATGCGATAGAAGAAAAACCACATAAGTTTGATATTTTTTTTAATGTATAAAGAAAAGGTGCGCAAAACATGCATTTTACTATTTCTCTATATTTCACACATCATTGAAGTAGGATCGACAACTGCTGACAAATAAGTCAAATTACTTTTACTGTAACTTTAGGATGATCCTTAAGTTTGATTTTCATTATCATCTAGATTCGGTCCGCCAGATAATCTTCTCACCAAGGTCTATTCAGGACAAATTAGAGACACAAAGAGAAGTAGAGGTAGACCTAGATTAGATTACTGTTCGCAAATAGTTAAGGATGTGGGATGTTCTATTTTTAGGGAAATGCGAAGATTAGCTCAATATAGGAAAGTGTGGAGGTGCGTGTTCAACCACTATTAGGACTGACGACCTTACGATGACCTAAGAATTCCTTACACAAACTGAATAATTCCTTCTCATCGAACACACTTTTGTGTACCCATTTATTTGATTTGCCTACTTTTTTATGTTCTATTTCTTCTCCATCTTCTCATTTTCTTCTTCATGTAAGAACAATAACTGTTGGATCCATCCAAAATTTGCTTAAAGTCTGACCATCAGCAGTTGTATAAGATAATATTGAATAGACGGATAGTGAGAATTCAGCCTTTATCCATATGTGTTTGTAGTAAAAATGTCGGAACGGGTTAAAACGGATACCTACCAGATATATGTATAAATTAACGGTCTAAGAATCTGGCGAAAAAAGAAACAACGAAATTCCGGAACGCTATCTGTTTATCTTCCTGCATAGCATTAAAAGTGTTACCGAAGTCGTTGCCAGAAACATTTATTTCATTTTCTCGAGCCACGGCTTCGGTGCAAGCCGTGCGTCTCGGTGTCCGCCGTCGCCTTTGTCGAAAATAGTTTTACGACACGGGGTAACATGTGCGAAAACGTGCCGCAAAACCCAAGCAAAAAGCGACGCCGACGTCGGTCGCCGCAATGTCGGTGGCGACCTGACGGCGGCGGCAACGGCATCATGTCGAAGTCGTCGTAGTAGTCGTCACGACGCTATTTTCGTCTTCGCCGTGTCGACTACGAGAGCCAAGCGCACAGCTCGAAAGAGCGAGTGGAATAATGCCAACGGAAACATCGTAGACTACTAACGTAGGCGTTAGCGTGTGTAGTCGGTTGAGTAAATACGATGATCATTAAAAAAAAAAAACCGTTGGCAACGATTTTACAAGTTGACCAGGCGGTTGGTTGGTTGGTTGGTTGGTTGGTCGACGATCGCACAATCAATAGCAAAGTAACACGGGAGAATGACCAAGAAATAGTGGTATACAATAACCGATTCAGTCGAGTACAAAGAATATTGTTATATAAAGCATAAAAAAAAAACACGTTTTCTAAATGCTAGTAAATTTACAACATTCAGACATAAACTGATAGCTGCCTTCACAACGATAGAACCTACAAAACTGGATTTAATGAAATTCAACTTTCTTCATACGTGTTTTCCAATTGGAGTTCTTGTGTGTAAGAGAAGAGGGGAACCGTGACTGAACATTTCCTTATTTAGTCAATCTGATAAGTTGTGTTTGGGTAACCAGAAAAAAGTAACTATAGTACAATCTTCAAATGCGAAATACGAATTCACAATTAGCTGACAGTTTCTAAACTGTAGTAATTAAACAGCAGCAAGAATATCTAACTTTAATAATAAAATCGTCATTTTTCAAATACACTAAAACATTAAATCTATCACAATCTCCTTGTACATTCCATACTACAGTCAAATCCAGTCTTACTGTGAAGATCCAGAGGCCATTAACTGCACAAACCAAATCAAAAAACACAGGAACTACAAAAATGTTTAGTGTATCAAATTGATATAGTAACGATTTTTCCTTGGTGATGCAACTGAACGGAAAGCTGCTTTTTATTATTGATAATAGAATCTTGCATGGGGCCGTTCCAGAACTAAAATGTCAAAATGAGATGACAATAGTGGAACACGTCCTCTATTATACATAGTTGATCCATATTTATACGGAAGGAAAGAAATATGGATCAACCAATGAGGGACGTGTATACCAGTGATATAACATTTCATTTTGATCATTTCGTTTTTATATGCTTATCACGAAACGGCCTCATAAAGGCGCCTATTATCAAATTATTTGACACTTCAAATTGTCAAGGTCGTAAAATAGACAACTGTTAATCAAAATCAATTAAAACTGGCGATAATTATAAGTTTTGTGGTTTCATATTAATAAAAAAATTTTACCTTTACTTTACTTGGTATTTTATTTTACAATTATAAGTCTACCCCCTTTTAATGTTAATTCCATTCCCTCATCAACAGCAACGAAACCCATCCAAATTTTGAGTCGATCTCAAAAAAAATTGGTAAAGGCTGTCGCAGTCAGTAGGTCAACTGATAATGTTCTGATTCGGCTCTTGGAGTTCCTAATACTTCGCTTGCATCCAGCATCGGAGATCTGGATTTGTAAACGAACTTACCACTAGTGCTAGCGAAACGATAGGAAGTAACTCCAACAGATGACAGCCTTTAGTTCAGTTTACTGACATATAAATGGTGTTTAGCTATTTAGTAATTTGGTGATATTGAACCGTATCCAAATTATCCAATTTTCTTTTGCCTAATTAATATCATCATCATAAGGTCATCATTCGTAAGACTGGTTGATCTCCAGTCTTTCCTATCCTGAGCTAACCTTCGCATTTTCTTAAAACTAAAACAACCCACATCCTTAACTGTTTGCGAACAGTAATCTAATCTAGGTCTACCCTACCCCTCCTAATTTCCGTTTCTGCCTCTAATATGTCTCTGACTAGACCTTCATGCCTGAGAAGATGTCCTGTCAACCTATCTCGCCTATTTCTTATTGACTTCCGTAGAGTCCTCTGTTCTCCTATTCTTTCTAATACCTCTTCATTTCTAACCTTCTCTATCTCTAACCAATATGAAACATGTAAAATAAGGAATGAATGAATCACCTTAATTAGCAAAGAACAACAAATGACTCATTTGGTTTACAACTCGGTTTACCCGATGTAGGAATTTATGTATTTTCTTTTTACTATATCCTGCCGACAAAACCAAAAAGTTCTAACGATTTTCTCGGTGGTCTAAACAATCATCCTGCAATTTATAGTTTAGAGTCCATTAAACCTAATTTCAAGAATACGAGCATCTTCCAAGAATCGAATATTCAAACGTACCGTTAGTACCAAACGTTTCATTCGCAACACGTTTAAAACTTAATAGACCATAAAATCCAGTTTAGCCCTATTTTTAAGACAAAATACAGCCACTTACGTTATGTTCGTAATATACCGTAAAAGCTATTTTTACGATATGTACATGCACTTTTTTTGAGCAGATTATGACTCACAGATTTATCCACGCATCCGTTACCATCCGAGCACAAGCGAAGGCCGAAAATAAAAAACCTCACAACAGTACCATTAAAAAACAAAGAGCGTTCTTGGTTAATTAATTCTTGTAAATGACGAAATGTAACGTTCAGTTTATGTGCCAAATGGTTACTCAATAGAATATGCCAAAAAAAAAAAAAGCCATTTCCAGTTCTTAATTTCAATGTTCAAAGAAATGAAATAAGTAAAAAATTTGGCAGATACGTTATCACCAACCGCATGAATGAATTAATTGGTAAGGTGTTGCATGGTTATTGAAGTTAATATACAAACCAATGGCTGTGGCAATTTGAAATACCAAAATTGATCCACAATACGTTTTCTAAAGTGTTGCGACTTTTAAAGTTCGTATCTCATATCAAATGATAACGAATCGATCAAAACAATATCTTTACTTGAAGTGTAATTGTTGATAATTAACTAAATTTAAAGAATTGGACGCTAAAAGACAGACCCAAAGATTGAAGGACGAAGTCAGCTCACTTAAGTATGCTGTTGTCCAAAACATTAGACAATTGGGTCGAAGAAATGGATACAGCGAAGCAACAGTTTATGACTAAGAACCTCAAAGTCAGTCACTCAACTATAAGTCATCACATCAACAAAACACTAAACGAAAAGTATAGAATCAAGCCAAGAGTTCAACCACTTGATTACACTGATGAACATCAAAGAGAACATTGTTTTTCGATCAATTTGGTATGATTTGATATAAGATATGATTACAAAACAAGTGGTTGTTTAACTGTAAAATCGCCTGTTTATAATGTTAATCTTACAACATTATGGATATCGCTTAAAAGAAATATATTCTCTTAAACACCGTCAATGTAAGTAGCAAAAGTAAAGATGAATGATTCAATAATGAAAAGAAGAAGTGGGATAGAATAAGTAGGATTTCTTACCTGTGCACGTCTCTGGTTGTAGCTCAGCTTGATGGTGACTGTTCCGGCGCTAGGAGTCTCCTCAATTTTGACGACGGTACTGTCGGCGAGTCTCAATTCTGCGCTTTTCTCTGCCGATTGAACGAAATCTTCCGTTTGCATTTCCTCGATTCGTCGTAAAGTACCGTTCGCGAGTTGAATCAGAGCGCCCTTAACGAAACTATTTATCGGAAGTACATTGTTGTTGGCCGACGCGATATTGTTAGTCAGAAGCGGTTTCGTGGTGGCAGCCGGAGAACTTGGTGGCGAAAACGCGGCCGAAAGCCGCTTACGATTATGGGGCGTCGCCGACACTTCAGGCAGAACGGACGGCAGCTGAGGAGACACGCGCGCCGAATGATGATAAGCTGGGGTTGGCGTGGAGTCGGCCACGGACAATGTTTTTTGCAAACCTTTAACAAATAGAAAACTTCAATGAACAGTAGATACTATGAAATTGTCTGTGGTAGACCGTTTTATTACACGATGAAACTATAACCAAGGGGAAGACCTCAACAGTTGTGGAACAAAAAGTTCATGGTGGTTAGTATTCTGTTGACACCAGCAGACGTGGATGGAGCTTTCGATCTTTTTGAATCTCTTTAGTAAGTTGGCGACAGTTCCGACATAGTACAGACCAACATCACCTGCTACTTGATCGTGTTTTGGGACTCCAGAAAACGCAACAATTTCACACAAATGACGTTCATTACGATGTTTGTACTAGTTCATCAAACATGGAGTTGGTCTGTATTCTGTCAGAATTGCCCATGACGACGAAATCCAAGGAGATCGAAATCCTGATCCACGTTTGACAGTTTCAACAAAATACTGAGTACCAAGAACTTTTTGGTCTGTTTGGTTACGCACCTACCATGTAGAAGTGGGTTCAGTTCGACAAGGCGACACCCTTGTGGGCCTTGCCAAAAATTTTGAATCCGACAAGATGTTGGAATTACTTTTACATTTCCAATCAATATTCCATCATTTTAGGATTCCAGAAAACGCAACAATTTCCTACAAATGACGTTCATTACGATGTTTCTACTAATTCATCAAACATTGAGTTGGTCTGTATTCTGTCAGAATTGCCCATGGCGACGGACTCCAAGGAGATCGAAATCGTGATCCACGTTTGACAGTTTCAACAAAATACTGAGCACCAAGAACTTTTTGTTCTGTTTGGTTACGTATCTACCATGTAGAAGTGGGTTCAGTTCGACAAGGCGACATCCTTCTGGGTCTTGCCAAAAATTTTGAATCCGACAAGATGTAGGAATTACTTTTACATTTCCAATCAATATTCCATCATTTTAGGATTCCAGAAAACGCAACAATTTCCTACAAATGACGTTCATTACGATGTTTGTACTAGTTCATCAAACATGGACTTGGTCCGTATTCTGTCAGAATTGCCTATGGCGACGAACTCCAAGGAGATCGAGATCGTGATCAACGTTTGACAGTTTAAACAAAATACTGAGCACCAAGAACTTTTTGTTCTGTTTGGTTACGTATCTACCAGTAGAAGTGAGTTCAGTTCGACAAGGCGACATCCTTCTGGGTCTTGCCAAAAATTTTGAATACGACAAGATGTAGGAATTACTTTTACATTTCCAATCAATATTCCATCATTTTAGGATTCCAGAAAACGCAACAATTTCCTACAAATGACGTTCATTACGATGTTTCTACTAATTCATCAAACATGGAGTTGGTCTGTATTCTGTCAGAATTGCCTATGGTGACGAACTCCAAGGAGATCGAAATCGTGATCCACGTTTGACAGTTTCGTATTTGGTCTTCCCAAACGTTCAAGAACATACACCAACATGATCAACGCCGAGACTTAACCAAGCTTATCATGATCTTTTTGACCATGAATAAACTTGAGCTCCAGGACATTGTTTATTGTACTTGAATAAATATTATTTACTTACTTGTAACGCTTTTCGGGATATCCCCAGGTCTGGTAAGTATCCGATGTTTAAGTGATCCTTCCTTCCCAGAAGGTATTTTAAAACCAGGAGAGGATGCCGATGTGGATGTGACCACCACAGTTCCATGTTGCTGCTGCTGGTGTTGCTGTTGTTGTTGCGGACTTGTTTTTGATAGCACAGGTGGACTGAAGGTGGCGGAAGGAGACAAAAATGTTGCTCCCGTTGTTGCTGCGACCGACGGTGTTGTGGGAGTGTACGGTGGTGTTTCGAGCGGCGACAAAGGTGGCGGTGGTGCAAAATTACGTGGAAGCAACGGCGTGTATGGAGACTGATAGATCGCGTACGGCGACGGATAATGCGCGAAAGTGTGCGGTGGCGGAGGAAATAACCGCGAATACGCGTTATACGCGAGATCATCGACTGGTTCCTCTTTTAGCGGCGATTGTTGCGAGGAAGAGGTCAAATTGACCGGTGCTGTCGTGGTTGACGACGGGTATTTCCCGACCGTCGGCCGCTGGGACGTAAGAAGTCTGGCACCGTTTGCATTGGTGCTGATGGTAACGCCATTGTATTTGCTGAAACAAATAAAATACAAAAACTTAGATCCCCCAATGGAATATTCTCATTATATCATTTATATTGTTCTTATGTTATGATTCTGGACAAAGGAATGGTTAGCCCCTAAGTTGTTTACTGGAGACCAGTATGTTTGAAATCGCGATCCATAAGTTCTTCTTTTCAATTTCGTTTTTGAGATTATATTCATTTTCTTTTTGTCTTAGAACACATCTCAAGTGTATTTTGAAATTATAATTGTTAATAACAACCATGTATAAATTCATTTATTGTAAACGTACCTTGCTTGTGAAAGGGGTTTAGGTGCTGGCCTAAGGAATTCTGGGGGCTGTTTTGGCGGCCCTCCCCATGGCTCTGGGTACGTCATGTACGACAAACGACCTTCCAAGCTGGCCGAAATCATCGAGTTTTGGGCTTATCACCTTCCACCTGTAAAACAACAACAATCTTAAATGATGATGACCTTATAATAGTTTTAATGTCCATCAAATATGTAACCCTCACGTTTAAATTTTATCTCAGCCGTTCACACACATAATTAATGTCGTTCGCCTGACCGGCCTCTTGGATGCCGCTATCAGGTCGCTTCTAGAGCGATCGGATAATCCACGACGGATGCGAAACAGCATTAAATATATATGTGAACGGCTGCAGGGTTGTTCTTTATGTTAAACTGTGGTGATTTTGATTGATTTAGTGTCTGCAATATTTTCATTATTTATTTTCGTACATAGTTCCATGCGTAGCAACAATTGCCTTCAACATCATCATAAGGTCGTCAGTCCTAAGACTAGTTGGACACGCACCTCCACTTTTTTCTATCCTGAGCCAATCTTCGCATTTCTCCAAAACTAGAACAACCCACATCCTTAACTATTTGCGAACAGTAGTCTAACCTACGTCTACCTCTACTCTTAAATCCTGTTCCTGTCTCTAATATGTCTGTGACTAGACCTTCATGCCTAAGAAGGTGTGCTACCTACTTATTTCTTATTGACTTCCTCTGTTCTCCTATTCTTTCTAATACCTCTATCCACGGTATCCTCATCATTCGTGTGTAACACCACATTTCGAACGCTTCTAACCTTTTCTTTTCCACCGCGCCCACGTTTACTATTCTTTCCTTCCTGACTTTTCTGACTTCCTAGGTACTTAAAATCAGCCACTTCTTCTAATTTTTCGTCTCCTATTTTTATATTCGCTCTTTCCCTACGTGTTCTTCCCTTGCATACCAGTATTTTTGTTTTACTTTTATTCATTTTCATACAATACCGTTTTCTTAATAGCATTTCCATTTTATTTAAGGCTATCTCTAACTCCTCCTTGCCTTATTGATAAAATGTTGCTGGCCACGCATAATGTGACAATTGCAATTATTATGAGAACATAACATACATACATACAATGTAACAGTAGTACATACGCAACAATAATTTCGTCTTCCGTTGCTGAATTCATATTTGATAGTCATCATTTTAGAACTGACGTCTCCTATTAAGAGACACACGCAGATTAATATTATTATTGCGTCATGATCCTAACAAGGCAAGAGCACGGCACTGTATGTGGAAATTGCGATGGAACGATGTGGTTTTCGAACGTTATAAACACGGAATGGACACGGAACTGTATATGTGAATCCGCCTTTACATAATTTGAAAAATTATTACAGAAAACCTTTATTTGAAAGTGTAAATTTCGTCCCGTGTTAACATTTTGATGTATATTCCGTCCAGACGATTTTTATTGCCATACGTAAACTTTACTACGGTCTCATGTCTCGTAACACACACACATATGCACACGTGTCTTTTTTATATTTAGCTAATGACTTGTACTAACTATTTTGTCATTAAATGATTTCTTTATCAGGCCGATAAATCCACCAATTAAGTAATTGCTAATGATCGACGTAAATACTACAGATACTTATCGTATACAAAAGAAATTTAGTAATTTCAAACTCTAGATAATTTTTTAAGTATTTCAAGATAACACCAACTTTTTGTTTGTTCTTTAATTTATGTTTTATGTTTCACTTACTACAATGAAAATTATCTAAAAGATATTGTTTTCTAGAAACAAGTTATGTAATAAGATCTAGAATTAGATACGATAACTAAATTATTGAAGAACTTCTCATAGCTTTTAGAAGAGGACTCAAAAAGGGTGAAGACTATTTTCAAATTCCTGATATTTTTGAAGTGAACGTAATGAATAGAAATTGGCTAATTTTTCCTTTTAATGCGTTCCTTAATATTAGTTCCTCGAATTCGTTAGATGTTAAAACCAAAACCTAAAAAAGTTGAGCACCTAAGTGCTAATAACGAGATAGGCTATCTACATAAATCAGCGTACCGGTCCGGGTAGCGTATTTACAAGGACGAGATCAACGTAAATCAAAGTAAAACTCAAAACGTTTTTAATATGATTACAATTCTGTTTCGTTTGCATTAAGCGAGTTCCAATAACTAATCCAGACAGGGATTTAAACACATTAAAAATTCAACATATGCTTCTAATAATCTAAAACAACGATCAATGAATTTCGTTTCAGCTGTTACTTGATCTAAGTATATTAACGATTCTGTTCATCAACTGTTACATAATAACCACTTGATGCTCGACTCTTTCAGATGAGCGAGCACCATTGAAATATGCTCCTGTAATAAACATTTTACAGTTACTGCTTCTTTCACAAAACTTACTGATCGTCTTTGTTATTATTTTTTAATTTAAAACTGTAATACATAGGCAATGTTTCAACTATTATTGTTGTTATAAAAAACACGATAGATAGACACAGACAGGCAGACGCATGCACGCGCTTTTCCTAAACAGAAACTTCTGGCAATCGCATTCAAGGACATTGCTTCGATATTAAAATTATCTGATAAAAAGTGCTGAAAGTGGATACACATAATAAGACTTCAATGTGACTGCTATAACGAACAAAAACGTTAAACAATTTTCTGTATGGAGTTCCACAATACTCACAAAGATTGACTAAATAATGTTCATAGATGTAGTTAGATTTACATGTACATTATGTGTACTGTATTATAAATATATGTATTGTATCTACAATATATCAACAGTCATAACGGCTCCTGCACGTAGGTGCATATAAACAACAAAAATACAACAATAGAATAGACTAAACTAAAACATATTCCTCACTGGTGTAAAAGTGATGACAAGTGACACCTGCGCTTCATTTAAATAGATTAACCGATGAAATTACGCTTTTCGATAATAAAATGGCTGACACTGATAAGATATAAACGAACACATACTGCGACAATGAAATTGGAGAACTCTATTAGAGTTTGTTTATAGATAAACCATTTGGTCATACATACTACATCGTCTAATGCGAATATATAGATAAATGTTCAGCGGACGTGAAAATGTCCATGTACCTATGAAGGGTGTTAAAACAAAGAAGGAACCTAATTGTTTACTTTAGGGATATCCATTGATTTTCTTGAAAATCTAGACGTTGTAGGTACTGTTCAGTGTTTGGTGAATGTTTTGCGAAAGCCATTCCTTCACATAATTAAAGTTAAAGTTAAAAAAAAAAAAAATGAAGCAAAACAACCAAATTCAATCCATAGTTAACCGAATCAACCAAAAACAAGTTTTTGTTTTTAATTTCTAGATGCATACTCCTCTAAAAAAAAAAAAGAAAATAGTGAATTTGCTCATTTTTTTCCTAAAATTGACAATTCCGATTAAAACACATACTACACGTTGGAATTTGAATTTGTGTTGTAAACAAAATATTTTCCTATTTGTCAATAATATTATACGTAAGTACATACAATATTAATTCATTAAATCGTACAATGGGTGCCGTTAATGAACTCTGTGCGCATTGATGAAGTGAAAGTAAAAGTTGTCATTTAAAAATTTGGTACGGCGTGAACGGTAGTTCATAGATATAGAAATGTTTCGAGAAATAGTGATTATTCTAATTGTATCCGCAAGGCCTTTTGGAACCGACAAATGTTTCATATCTATATACGTTAGCAATCAAGCAATTCAAGTCTAATTGGAAAGTAGGTTCCTACTATCGAACTGTAGTTTTCCGCGTTTCAAGACTGTGAGTACCGAAGTACCTAGTAATCTTTGTACGTACATATGAATTCAGATAAATTTCAAGATAATATAGAATCGAACATTTATTTGCACATCACACAAAAATAAATTTATAAAGTTGTAGGAACCTGTCTTCATTTTGCACTTCACTTCTTTCTATACGATTAGGATTTCTTCCATTTCTGCTGCAAAGCTATCCTTCCTTTTTTGTTCTAGCAATTTTCTCCACAATCTTTATTATCACATAAATCAAAACGCAGTGAGTTCCAAAATAATATTGCCGTATACCCATTTAGACAGGAAAAGTAAATAACGTTTCAAACTGTACACGGATATAATGCGTGCAAGAAACATGCATTTTTACTGTGCTACTATGTGGTCTTACAGACGAATGATGAGGATACCGTGGATAGAGAAGGTTAGAAATGAAAAGGTTTTAGAAAGAACAGAGACTCTATGGAAGTCAATAAGAAATAGGCGAGAGAGGTTGGTAGGACACCTTCTCAGGCATGAAGGTCTAGTCAGAGACATATTAGGCAGAAACGGAAGTTAGGAGGGGTAGAGGTAGACCTAGATGTGGGTTGTTCTAGTTTTAGGGAAATGGGAAGATTAGCTGAGGATAGGAAATAGTGGAGGTGCGTGTCCAACCAGTCTTAGGACTGTCAACTTTATGATGATGTAATCAAGATATACAGATATGAGACAGCATGGTTCTCTTTCTCTCCGTGTATGTTCATCTCCTCTCCTGGTGCTTAAGCTGTATTTCAGCAACCTTCAGCTTGTGAGCATCACATGGGCGTCAGTCTTAATAAGACTCCAATCTTTCTTATACTAAGCTATTCATCGCCTTTCCCTAGAACATCTCATATCCTTATATGAGAACATGTAACCCTCGGCTAGGAAGTGAAATTTTCTTGGGTAGATAAGTACCTAATTTAACAATCATGTGGAATGTTCATCAGGAGAAAAATTGCAAAAGCTCGTAATTTGGATAAAGTAGTAGATAGTTTTGCATCATTAAGTAAAGCGTCGCATTATTCTGCGTTACGTAAAGCATTCTGGGTTGCTATGTGAAATTAGCTACTCAGGGCTCACCTATAGCTTCGTCCTCATCCTTTTTTTATCATTTACCATTTATTATCTGGCCTTCCTTGACGCTGTTCCTACTTTTTCTCCTACTTCAATTAGTTCTAAGGTAGTAGTGGCATTATATGGCCCAGTGGGTAATATGGTCCATATACCCTAAAACCGCTAAAAAGTTTTGTACTTGCGATTTGGCAACTTAGTTTTGTCTAACTGATCGTTAGTATAACCACCATTAAAATTTT